GAACCTGTGGCTTGATGAGAACGCTTTAAGTGGTTCCTAAGACAGCAGCGACTTTGTAATAATGACTTAATTTCACACCAAGCCTCTGTATTTTGCAGGACCAGACGAGGGGTGTGTAGATGTTTTATGTTTGTAGTTTGGTTGTAATGTGCCCTGGGCAAATAGTAATAATAATTGCTATAACGCTAAATGTAGCATGTCCTGCTTTATTGTTACTAAAATTATGATTTGAGTATAAAAAAAATTGCCAAGGAGGCCTTGAGATCTGGAGCACCCATCAATCCGCTTTTTAAAAAAAAGTGATCCACATAAATTGCTGCAAATGTAAAGGCTAGAAGTCTTAACATCGACTTGTTTGTGCACGCCTGTCTCTGTCAGTCTGACAGTTTAGCCCCCAAATGACCAATTAGGGCCCTTCTAGTTACCTGCTCACTGCGACAGATAGTATTTAATCAGTTCATCAGAGCGAAGATTAAGAAATAAACATCTTAACTAGGAATCGTTCTCTTCTTATCTGTTTACCTGCACAACATGAGTAAAACCCACAGAATTGCACGAGCCTAATGATATTTGTGACAAGTCTTATCTTACTCACATCGACAAACCAGCAACCTAAGTGAACTTAGAATCTTCTTTACTTATGTAACTTTCCATCATTTTAATCATCATTAAAACATCCCGTGACCACTGGAGCCGTATGAAAGCATCTGCACTTGTTTTAGGTTGTAATTTGTCACGCACCTGTGCATCACACTTGGGGTTTTGGAAACTCTGATTTCAACCTCAGCCCCGTGCCTCTGGTTTCTTAAATCTATACTGTGTAAAGCCCCCCAGTTGACTGTGGCCATTTCCTCTTCAAATAGCTTAGACCTCAATTTCCCTTACACTGATTTCCTTATGGAATGTGGGAATAAATCTAACATTGAAGCACCCGATCAGACTGCTGGCAGCTTAACCCCAGTGCAAGTAATTCAATCCCCAGAAAAGGGGACTGCTGTCTTTTTTATGTTTAATTTGCTCTGGCCAGCTGTTCCAGACAAATGACACCAATGTGCACGGAGACAAAGAGGGAAATGAATGAGCTGTTGAAAGCTTCCAAACATTGCTGCATGACGGCCATCTCCTTTATTTGTTGCCCAAGGCAACCATATCTAAACCTTGCAATACTTCATGTCACTTTATAGACAGTACATAAGACTCATCAAGTTGAAGTTTTGACTGCTGCTACAGTTTCCAGTGAAGAATGACCCTAACTATGATCCAGCATTGCTTAGGTCTGTGACAGCAATTTGATGATGACGATAGCGATGACGATGATGATGAAGATGACACTTTTATTGTCCCCAAATGGAACATGAATCATCTCCTATAGGCTATCAGTTTACATAGATACATTTCAGAATCCAACTACAAAACACATTAGTTTAAAAATAATAAACTAAAATAAACTTTCAACTCTTCAATAGTTCATTAAACTGTTGCTAAAAGCGAGGTACATTTTTAAACCTACACAAATAACGCAAATGCATCTGTGAACGTTTATCTTCATATCTGAAGCAATATTTGTCTAAAAAAACTAATTTGTCATTAAGAGGGCACGTGGTAAACAACTTGAATGTTAAAACGATCTGTCAATTAATTGAAAATTAATCAAACTATTTCGATAGTTGATATCGTATTTATTGTGCAAAAATGCCAAACATTCACTGGTTCCACCATCTCAAATGTGAGGATCTGGTTTATTTTTTTTCACTGAATATTGTTGGATTCTGGTCAGACAAAACATTTTACTGTTTGTCGTTTTTGGTGTCACATTGGGCTCTCAAAGGGCATTTTTCACTTTTAACTGACATTTTAAAGACTCAGCAATTAATCAAAAAACAATTGTTGTGGTTTGTCAGTGTGAATCTTTTTCAGATGTGTTTCTCCATTAATGACTCCACTAATAAGAGTTATAAAATATGTTCTATACATATCTAACATTTTGTTTGCACAGGATGTTTTTGTTGTTGTTTTATGCCAAAGAAATCCATTCAAGGGAAGAGAAGTCCCCCTGAGGAATCTAAGAGCCATATTTAAGTGTCTATCTCTTATGCAATGGCACTGTAGGGTATCCCATAGGAATAAATACCAATTCTTTTAAATCTAACACGACAATTTGGATGTGTAAATTTCTGATAATGGTCCCTTTTAGGTAAATGCCAGTGTTATCTTTGTAATACAAGTTAAATTGTGATGCAGAGGCAGGAGAATTATGAGGTTTCTAGAGTCCCACTGCTACAAAGCCGTCACCACACCTGCATTTAACTGTCAAGCCATGACAGGTTGCTCATGGGATATTAAAGAGTACAATCTAATATTGAGCCACACTTAATTCAGGAAGATCTGACTGATGTAATTTATGCAAGTTCCATTTTATTTGTGTTTGAGTAGTAGAAGAGCTACAAGCATAAGCAAATGCCCCTCTTAGGAGTTCAAAATTGCATGAAGACAGAGAAACTGTTAATGTAAAAAGATGTTATGAGGCATTAAAATGAAGTGGCATTATGGCCCACTCTCCTAAACTTAGATAAAGAAAACTGTTGCAATCACATTGTTGCTACAACTTCAGTTAAATGTATGCACTGGCAAGCAACAAACATCCTTAAAAAGATATCGATTTACAGTAAGAATGGAATGTGATACTGTTTAGACAGTCAACATTGAGTTCAGATGATAATGATAATATACAGTAACTACAACAGAACTCAACCTTTCATTCTAAAACTAATGGTTGTGTCTCCCTCTAGTGGCTGAATGTGAACACAGTTTACCACAAATATCAGTCCCTCCCTCATTATTATGCATGCAAGTGTCAAACAATTACTGGTTCTGCTTTTTACTCTTTATCTGGAAAAGACAAACACCATAACAATTATGCTGATTATTATAAATAATGGTGTGTGTGTGTGTGTGTGTGTGTGTGTGTGGTGGGGGGACAGACTTATGACACACATCACAAACACAAACACACACGCACACGCACACGCACGCACACACACACACACACACACACACACACACACACTTGTTACTCTATTCCTGTTATCTCATTGACATAATGCATTCCCTAGCCCCTTACCCTTCCCTTAACCATCACAACTACATACCTTACCCCTATCCTACCCCTAACCTTGACCTAATTGTAACCTTAATCATTAAACCAAGTAACCCTCAAACCTTAAATTTTTGTCCCCATGGTGTGCATTCATCCCACCGGGATTTAAAACATGAAACATACACACACACACACACCACGGTGATCATCAACATACTGTGACTCCAACAGAGTTTGTCTAACAACCAATCAGGTGTGTGCTTGTGTGCACATGTGCAACGTGTGTACAACTACAAGCATGAGTGTATGTGTGTGTACACTTGCATGGGGGTGCATTTATAGCCCCTTTCTTTCTTGCGATGACTCACCAGTGAGTCACAGGACAGCGGAGTTGCACAACTCAGGAACCCCTCGCTGTGCAGGTCGGTGCCGTAACCTCAGCATTAGGAGGAAGCCAGTCTCGTTGGCATAGGAAGAGCAGGGTGATTCACCAATCACTGATGTGTCACGGTGAATGTGAGACATGAGTGGGGCCAGTGCTGACATACTGTAAATGAATGGCTTCACTTGACAGGTTGAGGTGTAGGAGGAGTAGGAGGGAAAGCATGTAGGCACGTATCCCTTCCTAGGCACAGTCATGCGTATGAATTATACATGTTGCATCTACTCGCGCCAATGAGCGATAGGTATAATGAAGTAACAAGTGAGGAGTCTGTGATTCACACACATACCTGAATGTACAGTCACACTCACACACACACACACACACACACACACACACAGAAATCCAGAACTTACTGTATTTGCACACACACCCCAGAAACACAATTCCAACCCTGTTCCTGTTGTCTGCAGAATGTGTTCAGAAGAAGGGAAGAGGACATGCAGTAGAGCCAATAAGATACAACTTATCACACTCCACGCAGCCACAGCAGCACTGACAAAGAGGGGAGGGGATGTATTTACACAGGAAGCTACTATGTGGGGAAAGTAGAAAAGCTGGTTTTGATGGAGAACAACAAATAAAAGAAGCCGAGTATGAGGCAGATAGATAGATAGATAGATAGATAGATAGATAGATAGATAGATAGATAGATAGATAGATAAGAACGTATCTATCTATCTATCAGCTCCCCATCCCCCAACAGTGTGGGGTTGCCTTCATACAGTTTTGTTATCACTCCTCTGTGGCATCATTCCCAGGCTTTTTTAATCCCTCTGCTGACACATTTGTTTGTCTGACTCATGTTTGTGTTTGTGTTCTCCCAAGTTTATGTATAATTGTGTGCCTCAGTGGATTTGTGTATGCAACTGCTACCGAAATGTTGTAATTTTAAGTGTAATTATACATGGGTCTCTTTGTATTCCCTGCCCTCCCTGCTTCTAACCCGTGCTTCTCAGAAACGGCATTAATCAAATCAAACTGCAACCTTTTTGCATACTGGATGATGATATGTCCTGTTTGGCTAAAAACAGAAAATAACAGTCCTTCAAAATGCCCAGACATGTAGAGCTGTAAAGATTCAAGCACCTCATCAACCTGTCCAACTAAAACAGTTGAGAGACAGGTTGGAGAAACACAGATCATCTGTTTAGATGTCACCAGCTGCCAAAAGAGTTCTATCGTGCGACTGGGCTTGTTTTCCATTTCTTATATATATATATATATATATATATATCCCAAAGGCCTGCAGTGTTTTTGCAAGTCATATTGTACAGTATCCAAGAGACCCAGCAGGCTGAAGTAATCTGCTAGTATATATAGCTGAAAGGCTTCTCTAGTGGGCAACAGTTCCAGGAAGCCCCAAAATAAAGACAGGAAGTTAATTTAGAAAACACACTATGTTAACAAATGGTGTAAAACCAAGTGTCAAATAAGACAAATAGACATAATCTCTCTTACTCTATAAGTTGCTCCATTCCTGCACCCTGGGACTCCAGTGGCTCCCAGGTTTGAGTCCTCCTCTTGCAGCGTGACTTCTGGCTTTTACCTGGGAACATCACACACGTGTTAGCCTGGCACCAGTTAGCAGTTAGCATACACTTAAACGTATGATAAAGACAGAAAACTGATGAATAAGCTGTGTATCGTTCAATCATTCATCAAAATCATCATTCATTTTAAAAGTGGAGGTTTCATTGGTGTTTTTGGAAACAATACACACAACAATAACTTTGTCTTTTGTCTGTCCTCTATATCTGTCACCCTCTCTCTGTCTCTTTAAGGGCCTCTGTAGGCCTCTCTCAATCTTGAGGTGTTGAGTTTCAAAGTTGTCTTCATACTGTGTGATTTATGATGGAAACAGAGCTAGCCTTGGTTTCTCTGCTGTCCTCTGACTTTCCTGTATGTATTCACTGTCACTAACCAGGAACCCGTACCGCTACTTAACCATCTAAAAAATTTCAAGAAGCGCTGAAGCAAATAAATGTGGTCAGGATTATTAAGATCTCTCCATCTTTTTCAATTCATCCTGACAGAGGATCCTATTCAACTAGCATTACTTTTTGTCTGATTTTTCATTTGGTGTATTTGAACGGCAGTGCCATTGATTGACTTTTTAAATGTGCTTCACGGCATAGATATATTCTATTATGTTCTTCACACACACAGCGAAACTCCATTCAATAGAATGTGCATGGGAGCTTTAAAAACATTCGAAAGACTTTCTTAATCATCAAACCTTTCTCTACACCAATAACACTGACCTATTTCCCGCTCAAGAAAACATGCCATGAATCTAATTAATATTATTCATGTTAATGTGAGGTAATTATGCAGAGCTGCGGCACCTGGATAAACTGTGTATGGGTTTTTGGGTGGTGAAGCCTCTCTCGCCCCCAAGCCAGCATGTTAATTAAGCAGAACATCTGGCGAGAACGGAAACATACTGTCGAGCTGAGCCGACGGGACGCTTCCTTGATCCAAAGTGCTGAGTGTTTTTGAAAGGTGAACTTTAGTTAAATTTGGGATGTGCATTATCTCCTTGTGCCAAGGTCTGCTACAGTCAAAATTGATAAGCAGCCAATCCCGGCTTTCACTGATTTGAAAGGAAAATTCTGGCAAAGCAAGGACAGCGGCTGTTGACAGTGAGTGCCGCATTGTGCTGCAAGGTCAATTCTGGTTTTCACTATAATTAAATCACAAACATGACTGAAACTGCTGGCAGTTTGATTACTTTGCTACTTACACTTTCTGAAATGTGAAGATCGCTTGGTGTTCTCTATTTCATATCATTATAAGTTTAATTTCTTAAGATAAAAAATAAAGAAAAAAAATAAGTTTTTGTAACTGTGTTCCAGAATGGCAACGTTTGGGCAACAGACTGACAACCAGACAAGGCTGCTGACAGCTAAAAGGGCCAATAATACATCAAACAGCAGGGACAAAAGACAACAGAGGAAAAAGTTGTTATCTCACTAGGGTCTCAGCTTCATGAAGTGCTGCGGTTCGATCCAGATTTCCATCCGCTTACCATTTTGGTCATCATATGATTAGTGCCAAATAAACAAAGCTTTGCTTCTATGAACACCTGGTTTTGTGCTTCTCTTAAACCAAAGGGTCATCTGTCATTTATAACAGAATTAAGAAAAATAGACAAAAAGCAAATTATAAACATGTTTCATTTGTTTTTTCACATATCTGTACTGTATCTACCTTCTTTCCCTCACCAAAGTCCCTCACATTCACGGCTTTGCTTCCATCTAGTCATGCATACTAATCTGTGCTGTAACTTGGAGCAGAGGCCAGCCACTGCCTTCCTGTCCCATCAAACATGCATAAGAAACAGATGTATCTTTGATGTAGGCTTGTTCATGTTGCCCCATGTGCATGAGTGTATGAACTCTGTGTGTGTCTACTGTAAGTTTATGTGTCTTTGTCAGTCTCCCAGGCCCTGCGGGTCCAAGCCAAGCTGGGGAGATGCGGCTGCATGCCCCAACACACAAGGAGAGATGGAAGGCTGACATTTGGCAGGACAAATAATCAATGCAGCAATATGTTGCCATATATCATCTTTAAGTGCATAATAAACATGACTGGAAGCTATTTTGTGACTGTAATATCATCTAAATATCTAAAGGAAATCAGTATAAAACCAGTATACATACAGTATTGTTGTACAGAACTATATGTTCAGTGGATTTCATTTAGATAGGGTCTAAGGGTAGATAGGGTAAGTTTTCTTTTGCTTCGATTGAATCACAAATATATAATTACTTCAATTTTAAATGTAACTGTCCTGCTCTAGCATTTCAGCCTTTTGTCACTTTAGATTAGTACATATACTGTATAAAATACATTTTTATATACCTGGTTTACAACACTTGTGTGAAACGGAACAGTGCATGTTGTTAATAATTTGACAAAATACATTTCCCACAGTGTCAAAAGGGATCTTCAGTTACATAGTATATTGATGTTTGACTTATGTCATATATAGTATAACATACCATATAATTTACTGTATTATGACATTATGATCTTAATCATGGACAACACATGGTAATAATATTAAATGTGTCACTCAATGGTTCCCACTTCTAAAAGCTACACAATCAACCTACAACCTTTCAAAGCTGAAATGATTAGTCGATTAACTGAATAGTGGATTATGCTTCCATGGTTAATTGTAGATATTAGTTGTTAGAAAAGTTTGAGACAATTAGGTTTATAAAATGTATGGAACAGATTGTAATAATTATATATAGGAAGCTTCGTGACTTCCTAGTGTTTTTGCCGCCCGGTGTTTTATGTATTGAGCAATAGGAGTGGATGCTGATGTTGCCTGATATTTTACCGGCATTGCACTCAACGACAAGTACGGCACTGGTCCATGAGATTGTCATCTTTTAGCATCTGGAGTTGTAAAACCTTCCCTTGCACAAGATAGTAAACAAGTATAATCATGATTCATCACAGAGGAGAGCTTATCCTGCTTGCCATTAGCCACACTCACACCAATAGCTGCCGGATTTGCTCTGTCTGGATGTGTGTATACTAGTAACATCTGAAGTAATGACCCCCCTCCCACTCTACCATTGCATCTCCTCATGTCATCACATGAGTTGATGACCATATTATGTGACCCTGACCCTTCCTACTATCTACACACACATGCCCTATAAAATTACAATGACCCCCCCTCCCCCCCCACACACACACACATCTTTTTCCTTTTCCCCTAAGACAATTGTGTTGAACACTCTCTACTGTGGAAGCCATGTCATTTCCACATGTGCGTTGGCCATAAAACAGCAAAGCGCCGACTAAAAGCATCCCTTTCCTGACTAGCAGGGTCACAATTTGTCTCATATAAACACAGGACACACCTTAGCCCGACAGTTTTCACATATCCTCCTGGCCCCCCTTACCTCCCAAAGTGCTCTTCTTTCCATTGACACAGGATCCCACAGCTGCCTGTCGTTCTTTTTCCATGCAGACGAGTAAAAGAGAATAACATAACGCTCCTTGTGGTAAAGTTTTAGACTTTCGTTGAACTTTTAGGGGCGTTTTTGTTGAGAGGGAAAGTTCTAAAGCAAGCTGAACACTGAAGCTGGTGTCTTTTGTCTCCCAACGTGCCTCGCGGTGAGTTTCCCTAGTAGTGTCATGACAACAGTGTGTACGCACCGACAGTGGCCACAGAAAACAATATAAGTTACCCCGCAAGTGTTGAGTGAAGTGAGCTAGCGAGCAACTTTCAGTCGTTTCTGAAAAGTTAGTCGAAATAAGCACAAAAGAGAAGAGACGCTGCTGAAATCTTATGTCGCTCTAGCGAAGGACAAGTGCACAAGTGTATAAGCTAATGGAGACAGAAAAAGAAGTGTTCAAAGATGCATTCAATCGCATACCTTGCTTTCCTTGCTTTCCTTCCCTTTCTGGGCCGTGTTGCGGTTAGCTGCTGTCAACTACTTAACTTGTTTTCGCTCCGCTTAAAAGATTAGGCAACTAGGTTTGTTACTCCGGTACTAACATTTTCTAACTTGTCCTGTAGACATTGTGAACACTAGCATTTACACGACATGTGAGAAACAACGTCTAGCGGCAACTTTCTCCGCCCAGACTCATTCTCAACTCTTCTGCCTGCTTCTATCAAAGGATGCTTTGCCCCGCCTCACTCAAGCCTGAATATAAATCACTGTAATCCAAGAGATTTATAGTGTGTATCTCTCAACTGATGGCAGGCTGTTATTTTACCCCAAAGATTTACAAGGGTAGCCTATCACTGAGCTCTATGCTACTTATTATTTATTTGTGAACATCCATTAAGGTTATTGTTGTAGCCTAATTCGCGTGGAATCACTCACCCAACACAAACCCAAAGAAGCCGACCAAAGTGTTAAATTCAATCATTGTGATCTTTCTGGATTTTATTTTCTACAACAGTTCAAACAGTCCACGTGAATTCTTGCGATTGATTGCACACATGACAATTATCGTAGCTAATAAGACATTAATGGGCTTTTAGACTTCGCCCTGCTATCTCATTATTGAAGTAGGCTACACCGACCCTGTTGATATAGACCTAATCCTTTGAACTTCCCCGGTTCAAACAATCCGGGTGACACCAGTATTAACAGAGATAATCCAGACAAGCTGAATGTTTCACATACTCTTTATCCTAATGAAATTTTAAATTTAACTCACAGTTTTAAAGGAATCGCAGACAGTTCAAGTTGGTAAACAAAATATGCAAATATGACCTCAAAATATAGACTAGTTAAGGAAAGCTCAGTCTCAATCAAAATATTTTATGACTGAATTAGAATGAAGCTTATTCTTGGTTTATAGATTGCTGGAAAGTTAGGTCCAAATGGCGAAATTATTTAGGTTGACTAGATATAATAAACATCCCTTACTTTATAGCAATACTTAAACCTAAATATAAAAAATATAATCCATATGGTGATGTTAAAGGATACATAAAGTACATTTAGCTGATGCTTTTATCCAAAGCAACTTACAATTGCTATACATGTCAGAAGTCACACCCCTCTGGAGCAGCTAGGGGTTGCCTTGCTCAGGGTGGACAGGTCACAGTGGGGAATTGAACCCTGGTCTCTCACACCAAAGGTATGTGTCTTATCCACTGCCCCATCACCCTCCAGTACCTCTACCATTGTATTAAGCACAGTAACTCACTGTTTGGTTAACCCCTACCCCTAACCCCTAAGTACCTTAGAATATTAGAGGCTTTTTTACATATTCTAACTTTTGATTTCCATTATCATGATGTCAAGACAATAACCAGTCATTCAAGAATAAATAAAAAAAGAATAATATAACAAGAGGAATCAGAGGGACTTACTTGTTTAGACCAAATGGAACTTTTTGTTGAGCGTCAGTGCTCTTATTTTGTCTTTGCATATGACCCATGTGAACAAAGTGATAGCTTACCTCTTAAAAGAAATAAAACTATAATTTTAGAAACATATTTAATTAAGTTATGTGAAATTGTTTGTTTTATATCATTTAGACTTACTGATAATGGTTCAAATCAGACGGTTAAAATTTAGTGCCACTAGATGACACTAGAATGCCACTATCTGACACTGACCTGTAGGTAGAAGTGGGAACCTACTGAGATTTTTTTTTAAACTCAAATTTAGCCATAATAAGGGTATTTGTACAGTATATTCAAACACACGGAAAGAAAAGACAAAATCACACACTGAAATGTAAATATATTTGAGTAAGGCATAATATACATAGGTTATATATACATTTGGCTATTTATGTTGTTCAAAGGTGACGACATATGTACCCGGATATCCTCGTTGAAAACGTCCGTGTTGAACATGGGAAATTGAGTTTCATACCCTCGCATTCTTGAATGGATTTTACGTACGTTTACGTGCGCTCACAAGCAGGAGACCACGCGCCGCCACGCATTTGGCGTACGTACACTCTCTATTTGCTCCTTGGAGATTCCCCTTCCTTCATGGGCTGTTTGAGGTAAACCTACGCGGTCGCATCAGTCTCGTTAATACCTGACGGAGTCAAAATAAGATGTACATGTAAGTGTTTGTCACAAATGTCTCAAACATGCAGCGGCAGCGGTGTGCGTGAAGCTAAAGCCTGGAAAGGTTACGGAGGCTGAAGTACAACCCGGGGAAGAACTTATCGTTTCGATGACTGTGAAAAGTTAACGCACAGACGACTGAAAAACAGCCATAATTCCCCTTCAACCGACTTGAGGTAAGAATAACCGATTTGCAAGTGGACTTCACGAAGTACACAGCTCTCGGGCATCGTCGGTAACGTCGACCAAATGACTGAATAAGAGTGTCTTTGTTTACAAGGTCCCCGGCGTCCTCGGCTCGCGCTGTCTCGGAGTTTTCATATGTCAGCACTGTATGGCTAATGTTAGTGTTAGTGGTAGGGCTCACAGGCTTACACTCTGTACTCAAATAGATTGATTATGTGACAGTGCCTCGTATTTAACCGCGGTTTCACATAACGACTGTTGGGGTTCATTTTATTCCCGCCGCCTCGCTGCACAGACAGGATAATACAGTAACTCAGGCTGTATAGGCTAACGTTACTGGTCTGTTGAGGGGTGATGGGCAAGTCAAAGGGCAGGGTCAGACAGATAAACTTGTATCTAGAGATACTACATTGACGTTGACTTGCTCATGGACACTTCAGCAGGGTGGATGATATGTGACCTGCGGCCTGAGCTGTAGAAGTAAACATCAGAATAGCATCTAGACCAATGTGTTTACATTATTTGGTTGAGAGTGAGCTTGTAGTGTGGTCTGATCATTTGTGTTCTGCTTTGAGCATGTCCACTGGGGAGAAAAAAGGGGTTTTGACAGTCAGGACATTTTGGGTGGTGTAGAAATGACAGCTTACAATGTACCGTGAAATCAGCTCACATCCTCCCTTTCCCTTCTTCCCCTTCGATGTCCCTGGAGAATAGAAATGAAATCCAATCTCTCTCCCTGGCGCTGACTGTGTCAGCTGCTGAATCTCTGGGTGCTTACTTGCAGAGGGACAGGTGGCCCCTGGACAGGTGCACCATTAACAAAGGGTTGCAGTGACTTCTAGTCTGGTTTATGTGCATTCGCCTGTGTATTATTATTATTTTTTGGTTACACATCAGTGTGGTTTTTGCTGTCCCATGGCTACAATCTGTACAGTTAGTTTCTCTATTTATGTCCTGAGTGTGCTGTTACATGTTTAGGCTAAATTGAAAATACTCAAATGTGACTGCACCATCTGCACATGCTTACGGTCATTGAAAAGAGTTTTATAACACAAGTAAGCTGTTTGTGCCTATAGCTTTCGGTGTGACGCATTCATGACAGATCCAGCTATGCACTTAGATACTGGGGCTGGACTGTACATTGTTCTCTGGAATTCAAGTGGAAGTCAACTTTACCAGACAAACCGGTTTCAGTTTCAACACATTTAACAAACAAACAGTTACAATAGTCATGCTCAGAGCTGTGCACAAAGAACACACCCTTGCAGCCACTGTGAACCTGGTTATTAAGTAGAGTTCGAGACAAATCACTGCCTCCATGGCTAATAAACCCACTGCTTTCAATTTAACAAAGAATGCAAAGGCTCAAATGGTATGAGTATTTTCATTGCATGTGTTTTATGCACTGCTTTGCTGGTGAACACTGTGCATTTAGAGAGATAGGGTGAGATGAATCAGAAAAGAGGTCAGCAAAGTGATATGAAGTGGAAGAGAGTGGGGAGGGAAAGTTTGAAGGCTTATCTCAGTAATGTGCAGGGACAGTTGAGCAATGATGAGTGTTGCAGTCATCATCGTCTTCTACTTAACCCTTCACTTCCTCCTCTGGCATTGACCATTAAGGCTGAGGTGGCCTCCTTCTCAATGAACCACTTGAGAAACATAGAGGCTATTAGACAGTTTTGTAAATGTGACATGTGATGTGTAAGCTGTTTTTTTTATTATTGCCAAGTGTTTTCCCAGAATGATCATGCCTCATCCTACCCGGGCTGGGACTGACATCCATTACTAGTCCTTACTCTGGTATTCTATTCACATAAACGAGCGAGATCTCTGGCTCTATTGAGTTTTATTTAAATCTCTTGAACGCAGCCTTCCAGTGTTTCCTCTGCTTGCCAGGCCAGTGCGCCTGCGCTCTGCTGACACTCCAGTAATCCGCTGTTATAGGAGGAGATTTCATCTTCGTCCACTGCACTCATGCTATCAGCGAGGGAGAATTAAAGCCCGTGGAAAAAAATCTATAACGGGAGAATAAGAACACGTAATGGGACCCTAACATGCCGCAAGTGGAACCATTAAAATACGGGCATCTGGGATGGAGCAGGCGACAGCGGGACTGGAGCGAGGATGTCTCATAAGACAACAAGGCTCAGCATCTACTGCCCAAACGCTGGAAATATGAGATGAACGCAGGCTGGAATGGACCGGGCGGAAGATGGTCAAATTCGCGATTTCCTGGATGAGACCTCCTCGGCAATTTGAACGTCTCCTACCTAAGTCTGCATGTCGCCTCCTGCACGGTACTCCTCCTGGCCTCTGTGCCGCTATGTGGAAACGGACACACAGCACCTTATTTATACAAGTAACGCTTTGCAGTGCTGTTAATCGGCTAAATTGAAAGTCCATATTCGCCTGGCGTTATCAGCGATTAATTATCATGCAACATTCACGGAATCTGGAAACTAGATGTGATATCTGCGTTGGTCCCACAATAATCAACCAATACTGAAATGGTAATTAAAGCTAAAACAAACAACGGGATATCGACATCCTTATACTTTTCCCTCAGGGTTTTACAAGCTACCAATGCATGCAAATGTGGTTTCTCCTCCTTGATCACTTCCCTGGAATGATACTTGTTTCCATCAGCTGCTTCGCCAGTAGAGACGTGCTATGACAGGCCGGCAAGTCAAAGCAAATCCCAGCGCACGTTGATGAACTAGGCTGACCGGCCTCGGCGCCGGGATCAGACAGAAATTAAGCTGCCTCTCTCAGACAGCGGAAACTAGGATCATCTCCCTTCCTCGCCTTGGCAGAGCACCGCAGCCTGAAACGAACATTCCTCTCGGGAATGTCGTGGCTATTACACGGAACTTGTAGCTGAGCTGTAAACAGGTTCATGCCGTGGCAACTGTTGAAGTTTGAAGGTTAAAAACTCTGCCCTCTCTGTATCAGGGAGGTTCTTCACGTTAAAACGCTGATGTGCATGTTAGTGGTTCTGTTTTCACGTGATGATCCAAAATCCTGCAAATACCAGAAGTGGTCTAATCTGTGATAAAGCCCCCCCCCCCCCAGGGCTTTCCAACATCTTGTGTTTTACTGCTAAACTTCCACAGCAGCTGTTAGTCAGACTGGATGTCTGAAAGATGAGACTTGGACATTAGCATAGTAGTAGTTTTGCCAACACCCAGGAAATGCAATGCATTGATTTCCTCCAATGCCCGCATTGTAAATAACTCTGTGGATATATTTTGTATGTCTTTTTATTCCTGCTAGATACACGCCATTTTTGATCACTATCAGATGTCTTTCTGGACAATGATGTTATTGCGGTGTCCTGGATGTGTACCCCCCCCCACTTATTTTCTCGGGGTGTCCCATTTGGCTGCTGAGATGCTGAAAGACAGTGAATGCGTTTACTTCTGGACACACCTTTTCCTGCTTTTGCTGGTCGAATGATTTTCTGAGCATGTGCAAAGGAAAGAGGAACCAGGCATGAGACTGCACAGACTGGGGAGATGTGTCAGAAGGAACGCGGGAGGATTTATGAGTGGCACTATGGAAGACATGGTGCAGAGTGTTACAAGCTTGAAGTCTACAAGAGGGAGAATTATGGGCCTTTGCTGTGAGATAATTGTATTTTCTCCTCTTTGAGACCAACTCTTGGATCGGAATTGGCACTCCACTAATCAAATTACTATTTGAATTTAGAACTTCCTCCCCTTTTTTTTCTCCACTCTAGTCTCCCAGTTCTTTGGCGGGAGGAAATTCTTCCTGTTTGAAGCAGGAAGTTGTCAGCACGAAGTTTACAGCATATACAAACACATGGTAAGGGTTGTTGTTGTGGTCTAAACAACCTCTTTAGTCTCTTCCCAATCAGTGGATCTCAGTATGTCTCGCTGAATACAACAGTAAGGTCCCTTGTCAACGTTTGTGCTCTTGGGAGAAACAAAACAAACAGATCCTCCTTTCAGAGCACATTCAGAGACTCATTTCCTATCGCTGTGGTGATGGGGAGCTCAGCCTCGTCTCTCACTGCAGAGACCGAGTCAGACCATGGCTTCCGCAGCACCCCATACCCGTCGTCACCCCCGGTGGGCTGGCTCAGGAACAGCCACAGCAGCCCAGTGTGGGGCACCACCTTCATCACGCGTCAGCAGCAACAGCCGCTGCCTCACAGAGAGCGCAGGTAAGAGCCAACACTGTCTACCCAGTCTGGTGCCAACACATTTCTCAGTTGAGTGCACTTGGGGCACAGAGGGTGGGGCTGGCGTGGCTTGCCAGTTGTCGGGGAAGTCGCTGGAGGAATGAGACGCGGGGTTGTATTTCATGGGAACTGTACTGGCATTTAAAGCTGCTGGGTGTAAGCGTACAAAGTGGCATCATTTCAAGGCTCTGTTGTCTTTGTAAACTGCCACTGTTCATCAGCGTTGTTCATTGGAGAAACTTGCTACTTTCTCTTTCACAGGAAGAAATACTTATTGAGGATTCAATAACCTCACAGCAATGAATCAAATCCCCTGTTTCATCAAAGCTTATCTAATCAAAGCCTGCATTTTGATGCTTTTCTTTGATGCGCCCAAAATCTGGCTAAGCCGGATTTGTAAACCAAAATCCCACGCCATTGGTTCCTCCTGCCACAGCTGTACAGTATGTGTGACAGTTTATGCAGTGCTGAGTGGATTGCCTGGGTAGATAGATTGACCTAACCTCCTTTGAACCCAATGAAAACCAGCCCAAGGGTAATTAGAAGATGAGTTTTGCTGTCATGCTTTTTATCAGGCTTAAAGACAAGCCTTTAGATTCAGATTTGTTCATTTTGAAAACTTAAAAACAGAGTGGAGACCTTTTCTTAGAGTGCGTCTTGGTAAGTGTTGCTTCGCTGTGGTATTTTTACACCCAGGCAACACTCACATCTGTTGTCCACCCACAGAAAAACTTAAATATGATAGATGCTCCATAGTTTGATTGTCTGAAATCGTCTGAAGTTTTCAGGGTCTCTCAAGAACACACTTCAGACAGCAGCTGCTGTGTAATTGGGCGAGGTTTGCATCTAGCTGAGCAAACTATTTGTGGAAGAAACATGCTTTTCATATAGACTAGTTTTGTCAGTATTGACTGCTTGAAAAAGATATATTCAGTTACTGTATCTACAAGAAAGGCTGCTGCTATAATCTGTTGTTCAATTATTGCTTTCAGAATCACTGTCAACATAGTGAAAGAAAGGCCAATCATCAGCAGTGTGTTAGAAGCTCAGTTTCAATATGCAGCTCATCCAGCAGTTTTGACTGACTTTCTTCCAAAAGATGATGTTCTCAACCGCCCTCACAGAAACTTTGTTTAGAACTGTTTCCAGTTTTCCTTCAGCTTTTTTGGGTCATGTCTCCCGGAACGAGAACAGGCAGTTGATATCGACCGCCTGTAGTGTATTGAAGTTGTTGCTGAGTCACTCGGGGCATCATGGTCCGGTTGTTAGTTATTGATTTTCAGAGAACCCGATCACATTTCCTCACAATGGATGTCATTATTTATTCAGCATCGGTCTCCAGTTGGGCTTTCATCTTTCTTGATTGCTGTACGCCGCTGTCAATGCTTTCCTTGCAGTTGCTCTACATTTAACAGCTAAGACTGTCATGGCTTCCGTTGCTTACTCTTCTAAGAGTTTGAAAATATAGACAGAGCTGGTTCTAGACGATGCGTAAATGTGGTTCCATCAACCATAGCTCCATGCATGAATGAAACTCAAGTATAGGTCATACTGTCAGTGTAGCTTTGCATCATATAGTCAACTTGTTTTTTTATTCAACAGACTCTTCCATTGCGTTTGTGCATCCCTGTAGGAGCAAGCCTCTGCCTCCATCACCAGTCAGACTACACCCTCAGTCAGCTGAGCACATAAACACATGCAGAAATGCAGATACACAGAACAGTAAATACACCATTCAGTCTACTGCTGGGAGGCAGAGAGGGACACATACAATAGATGTTTTAGAAACACTGTGCTGTAGCACTTGCATTGGAACATGCCCTCTTATCTACCCCAACTCTCTCTCTCTCACGCACACTCACACACATATACACACTGTTGAGTGAGCCTAACAACGTTAGGCAAGCTTTGCTGAGCTGTGACAGAGCATGAAATATAAAAACAACAGGCCACTATGAGCCCAGCTTAACTTCAGCCGTTCTCATACAGTTTGTTCTCTAATATATTGTGCTGTAAACCATTTTCCTTCCCTTGTTTTTCTTAGCTTGGAGACTGCATGAACAGTCTTGTCCCTTTCGTGCTTTCAATTAGTTTCCACCCAGCAGCGACCCATTGACTTTGGGAAGTGTTTGTGCGCACTGAATCAGTACCTCAGCTGTGAAGGTTCACTCAAGACAACAACACACTCAGCAGACAAAGACGTGCGACAGTGACAGTGTAGTAGTGTGAGCTGCAATGTTTGATAATTTTGGAATCTCACTCTTTTCTTCATTTTAATTGCAGCACAATGCAGTTTTATGCCAGTGCTATTATTGTTTTTTGACTGCGCTTTATTTCATCTCAGCCCTATAGTGCTGGTGTGTTGCATTGCTCATGGCCTTTGGAGCCCTGAACCCTTTAAAGTGAGTGTCTGCTCTCTGCAGAGTCAATCCCAGTGTCTCTGCTGTCCCAGCATGATGGATGATGGTGTTTATTGCAGCCCCATTCCACTGGCTCTCTTCCGTTTAATTGGATTAAAACGGTTCCACTTAGATTTGACCAGCATGGTCACTGGCCCTGTTTATGTCTGAATTATTTCAGGACCTCCCTTGCCATTGCCTGTCTGATGAAGACAGGGACGCATCAGGACAGTCACAAAGCCCCCAGAATAGATTTGGCACGCAGGCTTTGTCTCACAGTGTGGCTTTCTTTGGAAAACAGAGCATTGATGTGGCAAGAAAAAACTAGCCTATTGGCACTGCAGCTGACATGATTGCAGATTCCCCCACTCTTGTTGCCATGGAAATCTGTAGCATATGTTCAGTAACCTAATTTGTTGGGCCCCAGATAAGACCACACATGGTCCCCTGGCAGTGTCACACACAAACCTGTGCTGGCAAATTGCACCTCTGGAGGAAGCCCATATAACCTGCTGATTATTTATGTCAGTGTTTAATGACATGGCAATAGCAAGTCTTTTTCACTGAGCTGCCTTCAAGGGTTAAATTTTTTGTCTTGGAAACAGGAAGTAAAACTTTGCTTTGCGCTGCCTGTCTGAAAAGTTCCCTTCTGGCTGAAGGCTGTGTCAGCAGTGCTCCTGCCCTCCAGGTTCGTGTGCCCGCAGGAACTCAAGTCAAGCACAGAGGCAGCAGCATCATGGCCCTGCCATTTCTTCCCTTTTCTTCTTCCCTGGTTCTGGAGCTTCCTGCCAGCTTCCTGCTTGCTCTCTCTTTGCTCTGTGCTACTGATGTCTACTGAAACCCAGTAAGACAGTTTCCTCTGTTTATAGATTCAAATGTCTGAAGCTGTCTCCACCGTTGACAGATTCACTCGTCAAAAATGAGCTCTGGTCGTGAAATATTCACTGAGGGCACAGCTAGAGGTCAGAAGCAGCTGTCTCTTCTCCTTTCTTGGCCAGTATTTGCATATTTAGTGTTATTTAGGAGAAATGTTAGTTCACATCTTATTTTATGAGGCTTGGTCATAAGGTGTGTGAATTATCTGGGTCAGGCTTACATAAAAAATGACGACAACAGCAACGAACAGTCTTGAACTTTACATCATAAAAAGCATAACCACACTCAAGCGTGGCATTACCCTGGCACATAACATTTACACGTCACCCTTGTTTCTAAAGCATCGCACCCTTCTTCTAATGTTCCATTTTCATGTTTATTCAGGTTTTCAAATTGCTCTTAGGGTGAAGCCTCACTGATGCTTGTTAGAGTAATATTTCAGCCTAAGGGCACTTTTTCAAAAACACCTTTTTTTTTGTTTTTTTGTTTTTTTTTAAGTCTCTGTCTTCTTGTTAAAAAGTGTCCTGCTCAGTGTCACACAAAACTTCCCCAATTATCTTGTTGTACTGTACCGTGTGACTAAGACTGCACTGTCACCAAGCCCTTGTATCATGTCACCAAGTCTCAGCATGTCACAGCTAGAAACTCTTTATCTACCGCCAAAGTCTGGGCTCTAGATACTTGCCTCAGATAAGAGGCAGTCGCCAGCTCAGCGTCATAATATTTGTTGTAACAAATTCAACTATCAGGGTTGAGTAATGAGTCATAGTCATGCCACTACATATTACCTGGCAGGTAAAAAGGGGGCTCTGACAGTTAATCCTCAAGTCTTTGACCCTGACTCATCAGCTCCTCTGAAAGACTGGGAGGAATGCTTGCTAGGGAGAAAACTACTTTTAAGTGGAAGAGGTTGCTCTGATCTCGCAAGCATGAAAAACCCTGCGATGAAGTGATAAACAAACCTGTTTTGCTAGTAAAACTACTGCAGACAGACTGCATTCATTACTTAAAGGGGTAAAATACATTCTCAGCTGTGATAAAGAATATGTGAAAGTGTTGATCTAAATCCCTGTCACTGACGTTTTCTGGGTGTGTTCAGATGCAGCAGAATGTTTCAACATTCATTATTATCCTTTTTTTTCAGCTTGTCTAGTCCAAGGGCAGATTGGACTCTGATAAGTCTCATTTAATACAAGCCCTGCTTCGTTAAACAAGAATCCCCACTCATCATCATCATCATCATTGTTCTGTCTGTCAGAGATGATTGCTTGGATGAGGTAAAAAAATAAATAAAAATACATCCAGTAATGCCAGCGCCTTAAAAAAACCCTGGGTAATGCCATTGCACTTGGTAGTTAGGATCACCTTGGATTTCTGTCACTTCTAGGGTTGCAGCTATTAAACAGGTTCATCACCAAGTGCACATTACCAAGGCATGTTTCTGACATGAACATTTTATAAGCTTCGGTATCAACGACTCCAGTTCTCTCTCTGTGTTCACACAAAACTGCGCCTGTAAATATTTCTCACCACAGTGACTCACTTTATTTGAGTGTGTTTATGTGGGGGCTACATCTGGTGCCTGCCTCTCAGAGGGAGGCTTCTTGGAGGGATCCAGCCTATTAGTTCAAATTTCAAATAACCCAGAGGAATGCTATTATGAAAAGAGGTGAGGTTTGTAACAAATACGTCAAATGCATATGAGAT